AAAGATTTTCAGTACTGAAACCACATTTCTCAATACTATTTGAAAGTGTACTTTATTTTGATTGTTTAGAGCCTCGGCACTATACAAACTGCACCTTTACTTTTAGCTATTAAAATCTTTTGACATGTCATGTATTTGCTTTCGCAATTAGCAAAGAATTCATGTATTTTGGTATTTTTTCATGTAAAATATTTTTTTAATATTTTTCGAATATTTACTTATTTTTTTATCAACACACGTTTAAAATTTTAAGTTATTTAGATTTCTAGAAAAACAATTAAAATTAAAACACTATCGAGCATCCGTGATAGTTAGATCGGCCCAAATTCAATTTGGGCTATTGGGCTCATTTTTTCTTGTGAGCCTATTGACTCACAAAAGTCTTTTTCATATATATATATATATATATATATAATTATTATTATTTATTTTTTTTTTTAAAAGTTAACTAACTTTTCATTGAGGAGAAATGAAAAGTACAATGAAAGTAAAAGCAGAGGGAAGGATAAGGGCAAAAAAAATAAAAAAAAACAAAAAAACAAAAGAAAAAAAAAGAAAGAATAAAGGGGGGGGGGAGGGAGGGCAGAAGTTGACGTGGGTCTATTGCTCAATAACTCACATGTAGGCCTGGCAATGGGCCAACCATGTCCCAGGCCCAGCGCACCACATCAGAATTATGGCATGGGCATGGGCTGAGCCAAAGTTTCCTAGCATTTCCATTGGATTTGGTGGGCCTCCATGGGCCAAGAACTGCCTGGCCTAATGTGGAATGGCGGTGGCATGGTTTTACTGGGAAGGTTTGTGTTGGATGTGAAAGTGGGCCCTCTGGTATTGCAATTGTCACAAGTGATCATCATAACAACAAGCCCAACTCCTCTGTAACTTACATGTCACCTCCATGAGAAAATCTTACATTGAAAAAGTTTATTTAGAGTCCGAGGCTCTAAATCATCAAATTAGAGCCCGCTTAAAAAATTTCATTACAAGAGGTTGTTTTGATGCTCAAATATCCTCAAATTGATCATCTCGACATCAAAATACATGGCTATGAGAAAAAATAGATTTCGAGTTTTATAAATAGTGCATCTTGTAATACATTTTTGGACCACCAATTTTCAAGATTGTCAAGTTTTCATAGATCTGTTCAATCTACATTATTTTTTAAGCTTTAAATTTTATAATTAAAGATGAAAATATATTTTAAGGCTTTCACAAAGATTTCCAATATCGAAACTACATTTCTCGATACTATTTAAAGGTGTACTTTACTTTGATGGAGATTGTGGATGGTATCGTTTTGTATAGAGAAATTTGGTTTCTTATTTTTTTCGCATCTCTATATGGTGTATCTGGTAATGGCGTATCTAGTAATAATTGCTAGAAATGAAGAGAATGAAGAACAAGAGATGATGTAAGTCAGAAGAGTGTTTTTAAAGGTAGTTTGACTTGGTATTGTCAATGGTTAGTAAGATACGTTTTGCATCCCAAATTTATTATGTACTCTCATTGGTATATTGTGTTTCAATTTGCTTTGCCTGTCGATGTAATTACATTTGTAATGAACCATATAAAACTTGGTGTTTTTTGTCTTTTTGCATTATTTATTTTGTATTGTATTTTTCTTGCTTGTGATTCGTTTATTGTTAGTTCTGTTTTTTGTACTCTTTATTTTCCAAAATTCAACCAGCTGGATATTAGAGTTACCGCACATAACAAAATGATTTGTTTACTTTCCAATGACAGAAACAGCGATATGAGCCATTCCACCTCACGTTTGTGCCTCTCTCGGATCATATCTTCAACCTACCATAGAATAGGAAAAACTAGAGTAAAAAAATTTAGGAGAGCCAAGGCTCTAAACAATCAAATTAAAGTCCACCTCAAAAACTTCATTAAATGAGGTTGTTTTGATGCCTAAATATATTGGAAATGACCATCTAGAAGATGCATGGACATGAGAAATAAATAGATTTCAAGTTTTGAAAATAGTGCTTTTTGTAATACATATTTGGACGGTCAATTATCAAGATTTTCAAGTTTTCATAAATTTGCTCGATCTATATTATTCTTTAAGCTTAAAATTTTATAATTACAAATGTATGTATATTTGAAGGCTATTACAAAAATTTCCAGCATTAAAACCACATTTTTCAGACACTATATGAAGGTGTGCTTTACTCTGATTGTTATAGCCTCGGCTCTATACAAACCGCGCTCAAAACTAAATACTCTTTCATACTGACCAATGCCTTCTACGATAAATCTGCATGCTTTTTGAATGTCTGAAACTTTTTCATAACATAAACCTACTCATTTGCCGACTCGGACACTTGTCAAATTATATGCTGCGGTATTGCCCTTGAGGGACCATCTTCATTTTTCAATTTTGTGCAAATTGACTTTTCCTGCAGCCGATGGCAACCCTTCTTTCATTGTAACTTCCATGGCATGGTTCTATTGGTCTCTACGGGTCACAATGGTTCGGGTAGGGTCCGGGTTGCGCTGGACCTAGACCATCTTGGGTCCAAGGTTTTGGACGCGAACCCGACCAATGGGTCCAAAATTTAGATACACACATAAGCACAACACATCATACATATATAGTTAATTTATCTATATATATATATATATATATAGAAAGAGAGAGAGAGAGAAAATGATCTTTATCAGCCAACTGACTGATAGCTACAGTATCAGCCAATGACCCAGATTGAATCTGGACCGATCTGACGGTCACGACCTCATTTCGTGTTTGAATTTTCATTTTTTTCTACAAATACAAATCACTTGAAATTGGGAGCGTCTATTCTTGAAAAATAGAAAAATCTAATAAATAAGTAAATAATTTCTTAAAATATAAATTGACTAAAATACCCTCAAAATATTTTAAGGTATTTTGATCAATTTAATTTTTACGAATTATTTTTTTTATATATTTTTATTAGGTGCGCCTTGATGAGAAGAATGAGTACCTAAAATTTAAAGTGAATTGAATTTATAGAAAAAATAAAAATAAAAATTCAAATACGAAATAAGATTTAACCGTCATATCAGCCCAGATTGAATCTGGGTCATTGGTGTACACTGTAGTAGTCAGCCCATGGGCTGATAGAATCCACTCCCTATATATATATATATATGTGTGTGTGTATGTATTTTAAATATATAAAAGATAAAATTCATAAGTGGGTCCACCTGCATATGAACTTGCATCATCCACCATCCAAAAAAGTTGGATGATGGTGATTGAAACTCTAAGTGGACTGTGGTTGCCGCAAGTTACTCTATATGCAGGCCCGCCTACTTACTGTGTCCATATAGATATATATGCGTATATATTGTGTACGTAAAAATATTATTTGAGTCAGGTCTGGTCGGGTCAGAGTGGACCTAGGTCAGACACAAGCTCAAGGTTTTGGATCCAGACCTGACCCAACGGGTCCGAAACGACCCAGACGCAGATAGGAGTCCGCCCGACAGATACCCGACCCGATTACGACCCCTATTGGTGTCCCATCTTCCAAATCATTTAGTTGTCTCTGATATAGGTTTGGATGAGATCTTTTGATTTGTGTCTTTGCTCAAGACCATCTACATGGTTATCAATCTTGAGCTTGGGCATTTGAACAAGAACATCCAAAAGTTAACCAAGGTATTCCAAAAGTCATCAACCATGGATTGAGTTTCCTACCCTGTAATCGTAGCCATCGATACCAATACCCTAGTTTAAATCTGTAAGACAAAAGTCCCCACAAGTTAAGTCGGGTTTCATAGTTTTGGAGAACTCATCACCCCTCCTTTTTTTTTTTGACCAGTTTAACATTATAACACTAACAGGCGTATCTCATGTTTTCTTCGAGCTTTCCATCTTTATAAAACGCTCAAGCAAATTCACCAAAACAAGGCTTCAGCACAAGCAACAGTTTTTGTGCCCTAGGGCTGGCAATGGGCCAGGTTCTAAACAAGTAGGGCCTGTACCACAAACCCCTTAAGGACTAGGGCCGGCCCTGCTCAGCCAGCCCAGCCCAGCCCACATTTTTTTTTTATTTTTTTATTTTTACTATTTTTCATTTATTTTTTGTGTGGCCCTAGGAAAGTAGTTACTCAGTGGAGCCTAGTCCAGTCCTATGAAAAAAAGGACTGCACCAGCCCCTACCCTTACCTAGCACTATACATCTCCATAGTCACCCTGAAGTAAAACACTCAGGTGAGCATGGTTATCTTCGCCAAGTGCAACCCTTGGAGGTACACTCCATACAAGAGAAACTAATTAAAGATAAGAAATGCTTAGAAATTTAAAGAGGAGGAAAACATAAAGACGCTTCCAAGAAAGATGGCTCCTGCAAGATCAAATCTGAGCCATCCATTTTAAAAGACGGTCCGGCCCACAAGATTCTATCTGTCTCAGATGAAACGAAAGGGCACTCCAAACTGTATTGAAAAAACCTGATGTTAACGCCATAGAGATCTTCACCACATCCTACACTCCTACTTTCCAACCCATAATTATGCTGATTCAGCAAATACTCTCCTCTATTTTGAGCCATGAACAAAGTAGGTAGAGAGAGAAAGATAGAGAGCATGTTCAACTACCATAGGTTGTATAAGGTATCAACCTTATACTATTGGCGTAAGGTGTATCTCAAGATTATGCTGAAAATACAGTTTCGGTGTCAAAAAAAACCTTGCAATGATATGAAAATCTATTGTCCACCTATTATGAAATTTAAAGTTCCAAAAACGGTGACGTTCAAGCACATCAATAAACACTTGAAAATTGACGGTCTAGATAGTACATTAAAAGATGAACTATTTGTAGGACTAGAAATCCACATTTTTTCTTTTTTTTTTTTTGTCTACGAATCTTGATGTCGAAATGATGGTTTTCCAACGTAAGAACAACCTTCACTAGTGGGCTTCTTTAATGTCCGTGAATCTTGAGGTCGAGATGGATTTGAAAGTTTTCAAGCACCTTACCGGTACAGTATAAGGACGAGATAGAAAGAGAGATACAGAGATCCCAAAATTCATGAACTCCACAAAATTAGAGGTCGCAAAACATGAATTCTGCACCCACAGTCACTTAAACTCATACGAATACATACAACTCATAAATAAAAAATATGAAAACACCAAGAGATCGGGTTTTCGATAGATTTTACTCTGTACAAACGCTATGGGCTCTACGAATTCAGCCGCAAGAGCCCCTATCTCTCTCTGCAACTTTTCGAAGTAGAACAAATTGATGATCAACATATGACACAAGCATTTGGGTTTTCCTCTGCACTTGTGACATGGTAGTGAGTCGTCATGTAAGGATTGTAGGCCCTGTAAAGTTTCGCCAGTTCTTCAATCTGTTCTTTCTCACTCTTCTTTGGTTCATCTTTCTTGGCATCATCCTTTTTTGGCTCCTCCTTCTTCTTCTCTGGTTCTTTTGCGGGGCCGACTGTTAAGATCTCAGTGTGCCGAGTCTTCCTCAATTTGCCCACAATATGGACTGGATCCACATCTCCAACCACTGTTAGTTTATTGTCTTTCATGTCAACTGATACGGAATCAATGCCTGTAACAAAATACATAACAATCAATATTAATGCTACCTCCAGAGTCGAAAAACTTGTAAAAATCTCTTTTTTTTGTTGTTGTTAATTGAGTCGCTCTCTCTCTTGAAATTAATGGCTCATAGAGAATTCATGCTTTTCAATAAACCGAGCTTCAAAAAAAAATAAAATAAAATCTCTTAAAACACTTCTCTTATTCTTCTTGAATTGGGGATCTACCAAAAACCCTGGATGAACACACCAAAAACAGGAAGAGGAAATTTGACCTCAACTACTTTTCTGATGAGAAAACTGATGAGGAAAATAAAACCTTTTTCTATGAATTAGAAACCCAATTCCAATACGCAAGAGTTTCTAATGAATTAAAACAATCCGTTTCCTTTTGTTTGACGAGAGAGCAAACAACTGGAAAGAAAAACCCATCTATGGGTAGTTGATTAGGGATTCTTATTACCTGGGAGACTCGTCACTGCTCTCAATACTTTCCTCTTGCTTTCATCGTCGTGCAAATCGACTTTCAGAACCACTTTCTGATGAACCAGAAAAGAAGAGAGAGAAAACCCAATTAGAAACCCACCTAACAATTGAAAGAAATAAGATCAAATTAAAGAAAAAGGGCATGAAAACCAGTGATTTCGGAAAAGATCATTAACCTTCATTCTCTCTTCTGAAGATCCTCCCTCGATTCCACAGGTTCTGCAACGTGCCTTTTTAGAGAGAGAAAATGAAATCTAAGGATCACAGATAGAATTGAAGTGTGGTGAGCGAGGAGGGGTATGATTTAAAGAGGGAATTGAGGCGTTTCCAGGAAGGAAAGGATATCTACGGGGGTTGAAGTCTTTGCTTTCTCTCTCTAGACTTACAGAGAAAAAATGGCGGTGTTGAAGAAGGAAAGGAGGAAGGGGTCGTGGCCGTTGGCTTCTTGCGCCTAATCTCTAAGAGAGAGCGAGGTCAACATCACTCTCTCACTGTACCGCTCCAAATACCTCCAATTTTTTAATGGAAAATGCTTTAATAGGGCTGCAGCTCTATCAAAGTAAAACCTCACGTCATAAATCATCAAATTTGTAAAAAAAATTAATACTTCAAACTTTAAAAATAATATATATTCTAACAAATTGTTTAGACCGTCCATTTTATGATAAAAATAAGTATTCAAAGACCTACTGGATCCATATAATTTTTAAAGTTTCACATTTTATTGTGGATGTAGAAAAAGTCATCACCGTGTACCAATCGAATGAGCATTTGAGGTAAGGCTTTATGTTGTTTTTATAAAACCTAGGTCTTGCACAAAGTTCATCCTACTTATTCATGTCATTTAATTGTTTGGGGGGCGGCTAACATTCCTTTAATGGTAGATAAATAGAGTGCGGTGGCAATGTACCCCTAGGATTAGACCCAATCCATATTGGGCATGGATCTGAAAATTGGACTTGGCATGTGGGGTTCGAGTTCAAATCTTGGACCTAATCACTATTTTGAGTTTGATAATATTTTTTGGATCCTCATATATAGAATATATTTCAATATAGTTAAATATGTAAATATTTAAATTTTTGGGATAAGTCCAGATCTTGGCTTGGGTCCCACATTATATTTTTGGGTTCGGGTCTGGGTCTGACCCTATAGTAATTTTTTAGATCCGAGTTCCGGTCTGGTCCAGCCCCATCACCACCCCCACCTATTAATGGCTAACGTTGTTAAGGAGTCCACTAGATTTTCTTAGTTTTAGTGCAATGAAAAAAACTACGGCTCTAAAGCCGATGCTTTATTATCTTCCTTGCTTGTTTCTAATAATATAACTCGTTGATGTAATCTCTCCTTATTAATAAGGGCAAGCTTTCTATGCTTTTCCTACAGCATAGAAGTTTCATCCTCCCCTTATCCAACCGTCCATTTTGAATGGAGGGCTAAGATTGTCCAATCACAATGTCACGTCTCTACACTATATTATTTTTAGTTCTTTTTTTATAAACTATTTTGACACCAAATTTTGCATGTTCATTCCTCTATTAAACTCGCACTAGCGAAAAAATATAAAAAAAAAATATTTTTAATAAAATAAAATCACCAAAATACCCCTGAAATTTTCAAGGGATATTTTGGTCTTTATATTTTATCAAAAATTCATTTTTAATATTTTTTATAGATGCGCCCCAATGAGAAGATAGCACCTACCAAATTTCATATTCATACAATTTATATAAAAAATTAAAAATAAAATACTTTGAGACGTCGGATCTAAGATCAAACGGTGAGTGGCTCTCTTGATCAAAATTGAACAGCTGGATGGTAGGGGGAGGATAGAACTTGTATGATGTAGAGGAAACATATAAACCTTTCCCTATTAATAAATTCAATAACATTCGTCAAAAAAACTATGACTCGACCATGGAACTTGGTCCCTGGCCAACTCGAGCAACTCAGATTCGGCTCGAGTAAGTAGTGTCCGGCCAAGCTAAAAGGTGCTAGAAAAATAAATTAAAATACAAAATTTTTTCAAGAATAAAAATGTTTTTAAAGTAAAATTAAACAAAACATATATATATGAGTTTAAAAAAATAGTTAAAAATATATTTTGAAAAATTAATTTGTGGGGTTTATTTAGAGATAATCTAAAAGAAAGGAAAAATGTAAAAATAACTATTTATGTTCAAAACACTTTCCAATCTTTGCCAAAATGTAGAAAACATAAAAATAAATAATAATAATAATAATAATAATAATAATAACAAATTTCTTTTTTTTTATATTTATAAATTTTTATATATATATATTTTTAAATTCCCAGAGTTGAACCATCCAACTAAGGGATACTTGAACGGTCCAAGGTGGCAAGTCAGAGTTGGCTCACCCTAGTTTTTCTGCTTAAGATTTTAGTGCGTAAATAGAGAAGTCACTTGCAATTCAACTTTTTGCAGCTCCAATATACTGCGCAGATCTAATTATTTGGTAAGAAGTAAATGAATTGTATAAGAAAAATAAAGATTTAAATTATATATTGATACGTTGGGCGACGCACCAAACCTCAACCAGAACACAAAAAATCTAAATTATATATCACTTGGATCAAATTTCACTTTATTTGTATATATGGAAAACTTTATGAAATAAAGTTTATACCGGACATCAACTTTATATTACAAAAAAAAAGGACCATTTAAAAACTCACTTCAAAACGGGTTTTCAATCCACATATTTCGACCTTGGGATACAGGAATATGAAAAAAATTTCAAAGTACTAAAAATAATACATTTTGTAATACAAAATGTTTAAAAGTCAACTTGACCAAGGTACTCAACCCTCGGCCAAGCAACTAGGTGAGTCCAACTGGACTTGTCTGAGTCCGCACAAGGGAAAAGAAGCCTTTGAAAAATTAAAAAAATATTAAAAATTTGGAAAAATAAATGAAGTTCGTAAACATAAAATAGGAACAAAATTAACCTTAAAAGTCCAAGTAATCTTAATAACTTATAAAAAAAAAAGTGAAAAAAAAAGGTTTATAGTGGGGAGATTATTTTTAAAATTCAAAATAAAAAATATAAAAATAGGGATTATGGTAAAAAAAAATGCTCACCAATCATTTCCAAAACATCTAAATCATGCAAAAAAGTATACAGCACACTCATATTTTTAGCAAGTTTTTTAGATTTTTCAATTTTTCATTTACTCTAGTTATAATACAGGGCTCATTTGGCCTCACCCATAGGGGCGAGTCTGAATCAACCAAGTAACGGAACACTAGTAACATAACATATTATCGGAGTTTTTTATTTCTAAAAATTTTAAATGTTTATAGTTCTCATCAATTTGCACTATTTTTAAAGTATTAGTTTCTAGAAGTACAAATAGATATTTGGGCTACTATACTAGTTTTTGGTGCTAGATTTGTGTCGCCAACACAATTTAAGGGTACTTTGATGGTCTAGTTTGGATCTTGTGTAATTTTTTGGGGGTAGATCAATGTGGATTACAATATACATTTTGGAAAACATCAACGTTTTGAAAGTGAGAACCAAGTTTTTTGAAAGTGTCAGTGAGAATGAAATCCGTGACCTTTTAACTCTGCTCTCACTACCTTATTCTCAGGCATCTTATATAAATTAGTATATAAGCATCCAATGATTCCAACAAATACACGGAAAATACTTGAATTACTAATCTTAAATTAAGTAGACTATCATTTGAAAATGATCAAGGAAGATAATGACCAACCTTATTAGCCTAGGCTTGCACGGGCTTTTGATTATTACTGGCAACCGTTTTTGGTCAATGCAAGGAGGTGCCCAGCTTTTCAAGGACTTAGAAGAAACTATCTAAGGACTATAAAATGAGAGCATTGGAGCAAGATACTTTTCAAATAAAATTTATGATTACTCAACTACCAAGAAAGAGATCAATTCCTATGCCACAAGTTTTTAAATGATCATAAAACCAGCACTACTCTCATAATCACGAAAGGAAACGATCTAAATACCCCAATCCTCTCACACTCTTTATCTCATTTTTTAAAAAATCAGGATTGGAATAGGTCGATGGATTGGGAATCATTGAAACATGTCTGGTTTCTAGTCGGAATCGAGTATCAACTAGTTCCCCACATAATCAGACAACGTCTAACAGAACTAGCTGGTTCTGTCAAGACCCGTTATCGTATTTATATATTTTTTATTTTTAAATTTTTTTAGTTTTATCTTTGTTTTTATCGGCTGGATCACCGACCCACATCGGTTCCACAGAAAGCCGGTTTTTATTTGTTTTTATACTATATTTGGCCCCAAATATAGCCTTTCCTTATCAACAAAACTTCCTCCTATTCATGCCCTCCAAACCAATAAATTAAAATGAGTATAAAAATAAAAGAGAGAGGTTAAAGAATAGACTGATGACATAATAGGAGGTCACCAACCCATCAGAATTGACGAGGCAAACCGTGTATTTTATACCCAAGACAAGCATTGTCAAACAAATAAACAATATACTCTTTTATTTGTTATTTTTTTTGGTGAAAACTTTTTTTAGTTATTATTATTTCTTAATGTTTAGAATAGTGAGAAAATACGTTTGTTTAAGGCCATTAATTCAGTATTTGTCATTTGGATTAATTTAGTACTCAATAGGATTAGGCTATGGCCTAATATCGTTGTGGCTTCATGGCAAGCCACAAACCCTACAGTGCCGAGGCATCAAATGAAAACAATTGATTAAAAATAAAATGAAAATTTTTGGGGATAGTCGGTGTCCTCAAGGTGCCGGCGAGTCTTGTTGACTTTGGAATTGTCCATTTGGTAAGTCATGAGCCACACACTTCTCTCTCTCTCCCATACACTCCCCACCCCACTCTAATATGTTGGATGAGTGTTGCCATTAAAAGCCTAATGAGTGTTTGTAATAAAAAATTTTATATAATGGAATTTGAACTCAGTGAAAGTGTGATCGTTCATAGATCATAGTAAGTGAATTATATTTGTTGATACCGAACTGAGCTTTACAAAGTAGGTTAGTCGGTTGGAAAAAACCTATATTATCTGGGCATAGAAAACTATCCGATAAGAGTTTTAATAGGTCATCCCTTGATGAGGTAGGAGTATGTAAAGATGAGTGAGCTAAGGGACTGTGTGACCCTTATGTGTGATTGCCTTCAGATATGAGGGCCAAAGCATCTTCCACGTGTCATCACATGACATGTATATAAGATAGTCGTTTCGAGAAAGTGAATCACCTTTTAAAGTAAAGCTTAAGCATGTGTGAGAGATACCCATATGCGTCATATGAGCTGTGTTCGTATCAGGTTTGAGTGACATTGGTACGTCTTTAGGGGAGAACCTGAAATCCACAAACTAGGATTACGACCCCTTGTCCATTGGTTAGACTTTGGTGACCTACTAATGAGCCCCTGCATGGACTGTAGGTCATAGGCAACACTGGGTCGGTTTGAGAAAGCAAGTGTGGACTATGAA